AGCATATATATCTACCCTCTGCCTAAGCAACTCCACCCAGTCGGGAAGCTCAGCCTCGTCGCCAAACACGGTACGCCAGGCGTCGCTCAGACGGGCGAAGCAGCGGGACTGTGTATGACTACGTGTCCCACAAGGCTGACCAGTCCGAGTACCAGTGCGAATCACGTAAGAGCAGCGAACAGCACTGAGAGACCCTCCACTCTGAGCGTACCACTCACGAAGCTGGCGAGGCGTGAGAGACACGCGAGAGGGTCGCGGGAGCTGCATCTGGCCGCCACCACGAGTAGAAGCAGCAGGAGTGGAAGTAGGAGTAGCGTCGCCACCCCTACAGCCCCAACCAGCGTACCACTCACGCAGCTGCTGGGGCGTGAGGGACTCACGCAGGCGTCGCTGGGGCTGCATCTGGCTCCGCAAGTAGAAGCAGGAGCAGGACTAGCAGCAGGAAGGCAGGCAGCCAGGCAAGCCAAAAGGCAGGCAGGCAGGCAAGCAGGCGACGTGAGCGTGCTAGCAGGGCAAGAGCTCACCAGTGGTGGGAAGAGTAGGCTCGGCGACTCAGCGGCTCGGCAGCTCGGCGGCTCGGCGGCTCGGGCGACTCGGGCGGCTCGGCGGCAAGGCGGCTCGGCAGCAACTGCAGCTCAGCAGCTCGGTGACTCGGCGGCTCGGCGGCAGGGCGGCTCGGCAGCAACTGCAGCTCAGCAGCTCAGCGACCCGGCGGCTCGGCGGCAGGGCGGCTCGGCTGCTGGGCGGCTCGGGTGCAGGGCGGCTCGGCGGTGGGGCGGCTCGGCTGTTGCAGGTGAGCGATGAAGGAGGAGGAGAAGCAGGGGAGGCCACACACCTGCCACCCCTCTGCGGCCCCCTCAGGTCGCCTCGACAGGCGACGGGAAAAGGGGGGGGGTGGTGGGGGCCGGTAGGTGCAGCGGCGGGGCCAGCAGGTGCAGTTGCGGGGCCGGTAGAAGGGGACGGCAGGAGCCGTCAGGAGGGGACGGCGGGGCCGTCAGGAAGGGACGGCGGGGCCGTCACGAAGGGACGGCGGGGCCGTCAGGAGGCGACCGGGCCGCGACGGGGGCAGGCGGCGGGGCCGCGTAAGGGCCTGGGCGGGGCCGCGACAAAGCCGTCGGCGGGGCCGCGTGAAAGCCGGGGCGGGGCCGCGTAGAAGCCGGGGCGGGGCCGCGCGAGAGCAGGCGGCGGGGCCGCGAAGGAGCCGGGGCGGGGCCGCGTGAGAGCAGGCGGCGGGGCCGCGTAAAGGCCGGGGCGGGGCCGCGACAGAGCCTGCTGCGGGGCCGCGTGAGAGCCGGCGACGGGGCCGCGTAAGGGCCGGCGGCGGGGCCCCGTCAGAGAGGGCGGCGGGGCTGCGTCAGTGAAAGCGGCGGGGCCGCAGGGAAAATGACGACCCGAGGGGTCGCTAAAAAAAAAGCGCGCCTCGGGGGGGCGCTTCGGTGGGCCCAAAAAAAAAACACTCCGTAGAAGGACCCGCTCTATACCATGTGAGAATAAGCGAACAGGAATGGATGAACTAGAAGTGAAAATGAGTACAAGTAGTAAACCCTAGAATTGTGTACCCCCTATAGGCTAACCCACTGTAGCCTACACAAGCATAACATGTATAATGTTTGACAACGTAGACGAGGTTCCCCCACCTGGGGCGAACAGTAGCATGTGGATTTTCAGGGTGAAGCGCCCGCCGGGTTCTCCGCCTGTCTTCAAGGCGTGTTACGTGGCTCGAGGCTTCAGACAGCGGCAGGGAGTTGACTACTTTCAGACCTTCTCTCCCACCCCGAAGATGACCACTCTTCGGGTGCTGCTGCACATAGCCGCTCAGCGCGGCTACGAGCTTCACTCTCTTGACTTCAGCACAGCTTTCCTGCAGGGCAGCCTGCACGAGGAGATCTGGCTACGCCGCCCACCTGGCTTCACTGGGTCGTTTCCCCCTGGTACCCAGTGGAGCCTCCGGCGGCCAGTCTACGGTCTCCGCCAGGCGCCCCGTGAGTGGCACGAAACACTGAGGACTACACTTGCGGCTCTTGGGTTTGCTCCTTCTACTACCGACCCGTCGCTGTTTCTACGCACCGACACCTCTTTCTCACCGTTCTACATCCTCGTGTACGTCGACAACTTGGTCTTTGCTGCTGCTGACACTGCTGGACTAACCCACGTGAAGTCCGAGCTATAGAAGAGACACATGTGCACAGACGTGGGTGAACTGCGCAGCTACCTTGGCTTGCAGATCACCCGGGACAGAGCACAGCGCAACATTACCCTGACTCAGTCACACATGGTGCAGCAGGTCCTTCAGCGCTTCGACTTCACGTACTCCTCGCCTCAGGCCACTCCTCTGTCTACTCGCCACTCGCTCTCAGCTCTGCCTTCGGATGAGTCCGTAGAGCCGAGTGGCCCGTATCCAGAGCTTGTTGGCTGCCTCATGTACCTGATGACCTGCACACGACCTGACCTTGCATACCCTCTTAGCATCTTGGCACGCTATGTTGCTCCTGGGAGACACCGACCTGAGCACATGGCTGCAGCGAAGAGGGTGTTGCGCTACGTGTGCGATACGTCGGGCATGGGGCTAGTGCTTGGAGGGCGACGTCGAGTGGTCCTCACAGGTCACGCAGACGCTTCTTGGGATGACGACCAGGCTACACAGCGGTCGTCATAGGGTTACACCTTCAGCCTTGGCTCCGGCTCTGTTTCGTGGCGGTCTACCCGCTCGTCTTCTGAGATGGGGCAGCGCAGCAGCAAAGCAGTGGAACTCCTCCTGCCTGTCATCAAGGACGTCCGTGCTAAGAGCACACTCACCCCCGATGGACGGAGGACAGACAGACCTTGACTCAGCAACGAGACTAGCAGCGTAGTCTAGACGACAGCGAGCAGCGAAGTCAAAAAGCTCAGCAACTAGGGCAGACGCAGCAGTGGACTCAAAGGAAGGGTCAGTGACAACAGTAGCAAGAAGACGCGTGACCGAAGGACTAGCAGCACAAAGAGAGTCAGACTCCGGGTCAGTAAGAGTAGGAAGAGAGGACTCTGGAGGAGACGGCAATGGGACACGCAGAGGAGCAGTGGAAGGACGCAGCGCCATCTGGTGTGTGCCGGGGACCGCAGGAGGAGGCGGACGCGTAGTACGACCACTAGTGCGAGAAGCACGAACAGGCGACGCAGGACGAGATGCAGGCTCACGACGCTCAGCAAGACCTCCAGTAGGACCAGTGTAGGGAGAAGGAGCAGGTACAGGGGAGGCGGGCTGTAACTGTGACTGGGACTGGACAGGCTGTGGACACTCTAAGGGAGGAGCAGGAAAAGTAGAGGGCGAGAGACCAAGAACCTGCTCCAGGAGCGGAACGAAGTACGGCCTCGACCGCGCAGCGCCTCCAGAACCAGCACGGACAGCACCAGTACCCCCAGCGGCGGCACCAACGCCAGCAGCACCTCCAGCTCCAACAGCGCCAACTCCAGCACCTACAGAAGCACTAGCTCCACCAGCACCGCCAGCACCAACACCTCCAGCAGCTCCAGCTCCAGCAGCACCAGCTCCAGTAGGACCGTCAGCTCCAGCAGCCTAAGCAGCACCCCCAGACGCACCAGCGCCAGTCGAAACACCAGCGCCAACACCCCCAGCAGCTCCAGCTCCAGCAGTACCAGCACCGCCAGCAGCTCCAGCAGGACCAACTCCAGTAGCCCCAGCAGCACCCTCAGTCCCAGCAGCTCCAGGACCGCCAGTACGAGCACCTCCGGGACCAGCAACAATAGTAGCACCTCCCGCACCAGCAGCAAGTCTCCAGCGGCGGGCAAACCACTCGCGCAGCTCTTGTGGAAAGAGTGGCTCCCGCCTCGACGAGGCACCGCCGGCAGCCACACGAGCAGACCTAGCGCCCCCAGGCTCCGCACCCCAAGGCTCCGCACCCCCAGACCCAGCACCCCCAGGCTCAGCACCCCCAGACTCAGCACCCCCAGTCTCAGCACCCCCAGACTCAGCACCTCCAGACCCGGCACCCGTAGGCTCAGCACCTCTAGCAGCACCAGAGTCAACAGCTACCTCGACAGGCTCGACTGCGTCTACTTGGGACACACCTGACGGGGCAGGACCCTGAGGGGGGAGGGGGTATACCGGGGGAGGACCTGGCGCAAGAAAGAGCGGCGGCGGGGGGAGGGGCGCAGTGCGGTAGGTGAAGAGACGGTAGTAAGGCACCAGCTCGTTAAAGGTGACGTCCTGGGAGGACAGAACACGACGCGAGGTGGGGTGGTAAAACTGCCACCCAGGCGCGTCAGGGGGGAAGCCAAGGAAGACGCAGGGAACATCACGGGGGGACAGCTTGTCCGCAGACAAGTCGCGGACAAACGACCGAGATCCCCAGACCCGAAACGCAGACGCATCGCCAACCTTCCCCGTCCCCCGCAAGGCGGGGGAGGTCTCTGGCAAGGAGACCTGAGGCTGAAGGTTGAGCTGATGCGCGGCGTACTGAACCGCAAACGGCCACAGAAAATGGGGGGCAGCCACATGCATCATGGACGTACGAGCGACGTCCATGACCATGCCAATTCGGCGCTCAGCAATCCCATTTTGGTGTGGAGAGGCCGGAAGCGTGAAGGTCTGGCGGATGCCCTGTGCACGACAGAAGGCTCCCAGACGGGCAGAGGAAAACTCCCCGCCTCTGTCAGAGTGCAAATCAGAACGGGAAAGTCCGAGCCGAAACTCTCTCTGAGCTGGAGACGAGCTGCAGCGGAGCCTCTGTCGGAGGAATCTCGGAGGAGTGAGGGGCGGCGCGCTGTCGCCCCTCGACGCAGGGGACGCAGGTAGGGCCAGGCCCCGGAGGTAGGGGAGGGAGAGACTGAGGGAGACCAGAGAAAAGGACAAGGGAGGCCATGCCTCGGAGACGAGGCAGGAAGGGGAGCCCAAGGCGGTGGTGCCAAAGGAGAGTCTGGTGGGACAGTAGACGACACGAGCAGGCAGCAGGATCAGGACCAGACCTGGACGCTGCAGCAAACACCTGACTCGACGCAGCTACCTAGCCAGACTCAGCAGCCGGAGGAGACTCAGTAGTAAGGGTGTACAGGCTCGACCCTAGCCGACGGGTGAACGTGGCCAATTGTCGGCCTGTCCGAGCACACGTGCAGTGGGTCACCCGCTGACTCGCAGGAGTGAACTGGTCAACCCCCCGACCCTGTAGGTCCGCTCCACTCACCAAGTTCGTAGAGAACGAGGGGAGGTAGAGACCTGACAGGGTGCCAGAGGGGGCTGCCGGGCACGGTAAGACAGTGGAGAAGTGGGCAAGGACAGGACCCCCAGAGGGGTCCGCTAGGGAGACTGCAACCGGCCGACTGAGCGACGTAAGAGTGGTGCGGTCTCGAAAGAAGGAGCGGGACGCACCCGAGTCAAGGATGAAGGTGTGTAAGGCCTGAGCCGACGTATTACCTTAGAGAGCAGACTCACTAGCACCTGGGGCAGTAGACGCAATAGCACCTAGAGCAGCAGCCTCAATGCCCGGGTCAGGCGGTACACACAGGTAACAGTCACCCGCAACACTATCATCAACAGCATACATGGCAGCAAGAATAGCATCAAAATCAAGATCAAAGATAGAAACCCCCGCCCTAGACAGCTCTCCCCAGCGAGGGATCTCTGAGGCCTCAGGGAACTGGTGACGCCACGCGTCTGTCAGGCGGCCGAAGCAGCGCTGGGTGGAGTGCGGGCCCCCACACTGCTCACGAGTGCGGTCGCCGGTGCGGAGAACGTAGGTGCAGGGACCCGTACCCCTACCGCGCTGACGCGCAGCGTACAACTCACGAAGCTGCTGAGGGGACAGGGTCTCACGACTGCTCTGCTGCTGCTGGCGCGTACCACCACCGGAGCCACTCCTCTGCGCAGAGCCGCGACCAGGTCCACTGCTGCCGCCGCCGCCTCCGCCGCGTCCACCACCTCCGCCGCCTCCGCTCCCTCCGCCACCGCCGCCACCTCCTCCGCCTCCACTGCTGCCACCGACACCTCCACCCCCGCCACCACTCCCACCTCCACCCCCACCCCCTCCACTGCCTCCACCACCACCTCCACCGCCCCCGCCAGCCCCTCCAGTGCCCTTGCCCCCCTTGCCCTTGCCGGTGCGGCGTCTCCCGCTCGGGGCAGACGCAGCGCTGACCGACTCAAAACCAACGAGGTCGGCCGCAGCAACAGAGGCAATAGAGGGCAAGAGGGGGGAGGGGGAACACCCCTCAAAGACGGGGGTGCGAGGGTCACCACGAGAGGCTCCTACAGCAATAATGCTCTTCTATGCTTCTAGGAGGCCCTTCTCGAGGAGGTCAACGGTGAGAGTGGTGGGGCAAACTAAGAGGAAGTGGTCCCTGACTACGCGGAGAGAGTCAGGGAGCCGGGTGACTATGTAGTAGAGGGTGATGTACATGGGGGGGGGGGTTCTTGGCGCAGAACTCAGCAGGAAGCGCAGCGCGGTAGCGTGTATCACTAGTGCGGAGGTGCGTAATGAGGTCAGCGACTGTGGGAAAGGCAGCAAGGTCAGGGAAGAGGTACGGTAGCATAAGGCGGCTCAGTGCAGCAGTGGCAGGGGAAGAGTAGCGTGCAACTACAGCGTCGTACAAGGTCTGAGCACTCTTGTACTGGCTAAAGTGCGCACGCTCAGCGGTCGGTAAGTGGCGGCGCACAGGAAGGCGAGCAGCAGCATCGCGCGTGGCCCACTGTGAGCGAACCGTGGCGTCAGCATCAGCAGCAGGGGCAGGAGAGGCACCAGAAGTGAGGTCAAACAGGGATAGACCATCTGCCCTATCGCACTGTAGGAAAAGCTGCAGATCATCTACCCAGACCTCAAAGTCAACTGCCCGAACCTCAGCATCAAAGGTGAGAACACTAGGGGTGGCCATGACAGCAGTAGACAGGAAGTGAGTACAGTGGGGTAGGGCAGTGCAGTGGCAGAGGCGCTGCTCTTACCGGGCAAGTGAGGCGGTCCCGGGCAGGCCGACAGGCGGCGGCGCCTCAGCTGCAGTGCGGCTCGGCGGCAAAGGCGGCTCGGCGGCTCGGCAGCAAAGGCGGCTCGGCGGCTCAGCTGCTTGGTGGCTCGGCGGCTCAGCGGCTCTGCAGTTCGGCGGCTCGGCGGCTCGGCAGCGAAGGCGGCTCGGCGGGGCCGTGAAGGGCGGAGTCGTTGCCGCTAAGGAGCGGCGACGGGGCCGCTGAAGGACGGCGACGGGGCCGCGGAAGGGCGGCGACGGGGCCGCTGAAAGGGCGGCGACGGGGCCGCGGAAGGGCGGCGACGGGGCCGCTGAAAGGGCGGCGACGGGGCCGCGGAAGGGCGGCGACGGGGCCGCTGAAGGGCGGCGACGGGGCCGCTGAAAGAGCGGCGACGGGGCCGCAGAAAGGGGTGGCGACGGGGCCGCTGAAGGGCGGTGACGGGGCCGCTGAAAGGCGGCGACGGGGCCGCTGAAAGAGCAGCGACGGGGCCGCAGAAAGGGGTGCCGGCGGGGCCGCTGAAGGGCGGTGACGGGGCCGCTGAAAGGCGGCGACGGGGCCGCAGCAAGGGGCGGCGACGGGGCCGCTGAAAGGGCGGCGACAGGGCCGCTGAGAGGGCGGCGACGGGGCCGCGAGGGCGGCGCGACGGGGCCGTGAGGACGGCGCGACGGGGCCACTAGGGGCTGTGAGAGAGGCCGCTAGAGGCCAGTGAGGGTATCGACACGGGGCGCGACTCGGGCAGGGGCCAAGCGCGCTCCGGGCAGGAAAAAAAATTTGATATTCGGTGGGCCCTAGGAACAGTTCCCACGAGGGAACCTGCTCTATACCATGTGAGGATTAGAACGAGAATGAATGCATTGAGCAGAATGAGGAGTACAAGTAGTAAACCCTAAAGTGTTGTACCCCATATGAACTGCCCCACTACAGCCTACACAGACTATAGCATATATGCCTGACACAATTTGGTGCTGGATGGCTAAGAGACAGCGAACGAAGAGGAGCGGGAGTCAGGAACATGGGAAGTAAAGGTTAGTTTCAAGGACTACAAATATCGGAAGTCGCGACATTGGCACACTAAAGAGGCTACATTGTTACCTTCGACTGCGGTGTCGCCATAGTGGTTGTTATCAATGGCTACGGATCCCAGATGAGCCTGCACGCAAAACCGGTTGAGAACGGATGAAAACAGTAACGTTAGTCATTTGCGGGAAAACGCATGTGAAGAAACTGTGACGGTGCGAAGGATGACACCCAAGGATGTGAGACGTATGATAAGTGAGCTCGTGAGCGAATGGCACCAAGTGAAAGGAGGAAGGAGGTGACGAAGGAGCTAGTATCGCGGATACTTGCGCGAATTAAGAGTTTAGAACCTGCGATTCGTAGCCTTGAGCTAACAGCGCGCTGATGAACTCTTTCACGAGAGCCACGTGAGCATCGTCCCAAGTGCCGTAGAAACGACGTGGAGGGGCGTGCGTGGAGTCTCGCCGCCTGAAGCGGTGACCGTGGATGAGAACTCGCGGGACTGGACGCCAAGAACAAGGGCAACAAGAATTGGGACGGCGATGGAGAGGAGACAGAGGAGCGCGCGCATGTTGAGCGGTGATCGGGAAGCCATTATGTCTTTTCGGCTGAGTGTAGTATTATCTGCTTCGCGACGCATCTCGGCCTTCACCTTGTTTCAAGTAGTCGAGTGCGTGGCGAAGAAATGTGAACGTGAATATAAGAGTGGATCTGAAACAATGTGGAAGAGCGATACGAGGTCAGGAGTTGTGCGAGCTCGGTGATGAAGTAAGCAGAGCTCGAGGGTCCACGCACGGCGCTGGAGCTGTTTGTCGAGTCGAGCCCCAGGGTTGTGGGATCTTCAAGATCGGGAAATATGGGAACTTGGAAAAACTTGTCCAAATATCGAGCCCATATATGATTTTCAACGTCATAGATTTGGAATGACCGGGGGGGGGGGGGGGGCGCGCGGAAGAAAATGCGGGGCGCGGAAGGCAGAGGCGTAGGGACGAGGCAACGGTGATATTTGGATAAGAACCATCTGACCTGAAACCTTTTAAAATTAGTATTACAGCGTGGCTTGACGAATATAAGAGCTTCATGACTCACGACTTCCCGTAGTGGAGGTCCTCCTGGGTTTCAGAGCAGAAATCGAAATATTTCAAGCAGCGATGGTGCAATAATTCAAGTGGTCCCGGCGGAGCTTTCGAGCGCAGCGACGAAGCTCGCAGTTCCTCTGCAGCGCCCATATGCGAGTCGCGGACATTTCTGCGAGGAGATCAATCAGGAACCCTGATTGCCTGGAAGAGTGGCAAACGGACGTGGCTTGGATAGTTGTCCTCGAACTATCAAGGCATTGACGGGAAAGCAGCATTTCATCTGACCCCAGTGTTACAGGGCAAAGGCGAACTCGCCACAGGAAAGTTCGCTCACTAGCGAACTTGTAACCTTCGCCAAAACTCCAACCTGAGATGTCAAATTCGAGGTTGGAAATCTCAACCTGAAATGTGCGCTTCGGGATTTCTCAAAGCACACGTGAATTCCCAACCAGCAAAGCAACAAAGAAGAAAGCACAAGGGCATCTTCACGACAGCAGAGCAACAAGTCACGCCATACAGCTGTAACTACGTTCCAGCACCACAAGATCTAAGTGCCATCATCATGAAGTCGAAGACCAAGTCAGATAATACCTTTCTAGATCCATCTCATGATTGTACTTTGCATATTTCTATATAAACAGCTAGGATCCAGCATAGGATTGTTATCATTGCTTGTACATAGCCGTTCCTTGCTGGTGACAGCAGAGATAGGATTAATGGCGACCTGAATGACCTTCTCAAGGCGCCATAGTCATAGAAGTGTGTATAAGAGTAGTCCTTCGTCCCTTGTATGCCATTCTTGCTTTCTGAAATTTACAGAATTTATGCTACTGAGTTTACCTTGTCATTTTAGACTCTCCAAGCTTTAGCCTTCAGAAACTCTAACAGCCTAGAGCTGTTCCATTTGGTATCAGGGCTAGATTTCGACTTCCTGCTAGGACTACGTCATGACGTCTGACTTAGGACCTCCGTCCTCTGAGGATTGGGCTAATTTTTTGCAAAACTACCGGGCCCAAATCGTTTCTGAACTTCGAGAGAGCTTGCAAGTTGAGATTCGAGCCAGTATAGTTGCAGCCGGTTCGGTGGCAGAAAGTGTGAATACTGCTGCACCCTCAGATGGAAATCAGCGCGCTAGACCCGCTATGACAGATCTCTTCACGCCAAGAAAGTTTCAGCCAGTCGTGAGTCGATGGCTATTCCTTGTCGAGTAGTACATGCTGTTGAGCCACGTTGCACCTGCTGAGTGGGCATCATTCACGGGAACGCTTCTTTGAGGTTCTGCGATCACTTGGTGGCAATCCATCCACACCTCTGTTCAGTCATGGGAGCAGTTTAAGCAACTCTTCACGGCTGCTTTTCAACCAGTGAACCCGGAACTCAAAACTCGTGGCCGCTTGGCTGCCCTCAAGCAACTCAAATCCGTCCATGAGTACGCGGCGCGCTTCCGTGATGTTGCACAAGAGATACCTGACCTGTCCACTGCTGAAAAAATGGATCGCTTCAAGCGTGGCCTGAAATTCAACGTCTGCATGGAGGTCGAGCTAAGGGACTGCACTACGCTCGAGGAAATGATACGTGTCGCTGAACGGTATGACGCTGTTCATTTCGCATACAAGGCACAATTTCCTCGCAGCCCGTTCCTCCCTTTTGCTCCCTCCCATTAGCCATCATCCTCAGCAACATTCAACCAGCAAGAACCTGCTCCTATGGACCTGGACGTGATGGAGAAGGGCAAGAAACCTGTGAAGCCCGATGTCGTTCGCTTCAAGTGCGGCAAGAAAGGTCATGTGTGGAGGTTCTGCCGCGAACGCTCCAGCCGACCACCGTTGCTTCCAATACCAAAAAACAGTCACCGCCAGTAAGCTTGGGGCGACTTTCTGGCAACCTGCAGAGCCCTTCCATCATCTCTCTTGAAAACACCATCCCATCTAACCCCCTTCTCCTTTCCATAAGCATACAGAACCGTACCTTCAAGGCCCTGATTGATAGCGGAGCTTCTTCCAACTTCATCTCATCAAACCTTGTCTCTGAACTATCTCTTCCTATCCAGCAAGATTCCCATTCCCAAATAGTGCAGATGGCGAACGGAGCTTCTATCACATGTGGCCCAACCCCTTTCCCAATCAGCTGCACCATGGGCTCATACAAAGACAAGCTCCAGTTCCAGCAAGTGCCTTTGGGAGAGCATCATCTAATCCTCGGGCGTGATTGGCTTTCATCCAAGAACCCACGGATTGATTGGACTGCTGGAACAGTATCCATCGTGCACAGTGGAGCTGAAATCACTCTTCCCACCATCTCTTCCTCCTCTTCCTCACCTAGCTGCAGTGTGATTTCTGTGAGACAGCTAAAGAAGCTTTCCAAAGACCCTCATGCTCAATTCTTCGTTTGCTTGCTTCAACAAACCTCAAAAGCCCCTTCAACTCCTTCTTCTCCAAATTCTACTCCTCCTGCAGAAATTCAGAAAGTCCTCACTGATTTTCAAGATGTGTTTCCTTCAGACCTCCCAGCAGGACTTCCTCCCAAGCGCTCAGTGGATCACCGGATCGTGCTACAACGTGGATCTGAACCTCCTGTTCCTGCTACCTACCGCATGAGCGCTGCTGAACTGAAGGAAGTCCAAGCTCAACTGGAGGAACTCCTTGAAAAAGGCTTCATTCGTGTCAGCTCTTCCCCTTACACAGCCCCCATTCTTTTCGTGAAAAAGAAGGATGGCTCCCTTCGCATGTGTATAGACTACCGCGCCCTCAACAAACTCACCATCAAGAACCGATACCCGTTGCCGCGAGTGGAGGAACTCTTTGAACAACTCAGCGAGG